ACAAACTGGATACATAACCACGCCCACCACTGTACAGCTGCAGGAGTTTAGTTTATGATACCAGTGACACGATGCCTTTTAGTGTATGCAATTCACTCCAAAGTGCCTTGACGACAAACTCATTTTCTTCATGTTGCCAGAGTGCTTGAAGTTATCAGGTTAGTTCCTCTCAGCAGTGAGTTAATAAGCAAAACAATTTAATCCAGAATCTTGTTATAAAAGATTCATGGCACTCAGCAGAGCATAACTACATTTATAATATGTGGAGGTTAACTTCAATTAAATGGAGAAGCTTCAAAATTCTTGTGGTTCAGAGTGAAGAGAATCAACAGAGTGTAAATTCAGCTGCCAATGTGTTAATGTCTGTTTCGAGTTCCTTTTAAAATGAATTGCACCCAAGTCCCTGGAAATTTCAGTTTTTATAACAAGGGTTATAAGTTAAAACCTTAACTCTGAATGTACACATATGCATCAAACATTGCACTCCCTTGTTGTTCAGTGATTCTATCAAAAACAATTCTGTAAACTTGTCAAATACAGTCTGTCTGTGCCACAGTCTCTCATTAGACTTTCTAAATCTTCACTCATACCATCTTGTATAATGAATTTTATCTATTAGGTAAAACTAAATGTCTGCTTTCTTCATTAAACTTCCGTAGCAACAGGTTATTCAGCTTAAATAAAAACCGAAAGAACTGCAGATGCTGTAAATCAGGAACAGAGACAGAAGTTGCTGGAAAAGCTCAGCAGCTCTGGCAGTGTCTGTGAAGAAAAAAATCAGAGTTAACGTTTCGGGTCCGGTGACCCTTCCACACCAAGAGACCAAAACCGCCTATTTTTCTCTATCTGAGAGTTCTTCTGGCATGAGTCTTCCTGTTATATAAGAGGCTATTATTAATAGGAATTAGACTTGGGTACAGTGTCCTCAGGAGTAATAGGCTAACATAGTCCTTCTTTCCCACTGTACAGTGGTTCTACAGTTTGTATAATGAAGATTTCTGTGCCTGTTAATTTTGAATGAAATTAATATATTTTGAGTGAAATTTCAGATTGGTGTTGAATTACGTGTAGATATTTCAAGAATGATGTGATTGGGATGATGCTTGTGTGTTAATTGAATTATGAACTAACGTAAGTCTAGATAAATATGTAGAGTTATAACTTTCCCTTGGCAAGCTCATCAGTATAATTTGATACTCTCGATTTAGTTTCAAGCACGTGGGGTTAAATTTGATATGAATTACAATTTTCATGCATCTGCATTCAGTTTAAAGCAGAGGAATGGGCACTTAGTTTTAAGGCTGAAATAATCTTTCAGATTTTCCTAAACTAGAAGGTAAATAAATTGATAGAAACAAAGAGAAAAGAAACACAAAGTGAGGCATCACATGGAGTCTGTAATAAAATGATGGAGTAGAGCAGCGGCTCACCTGCAGTTTGGCTAAGGTGGAAATGGTACTAAATAGTTATGAGGAGTGTGTTGTTCACCACTCTAGGACATCATCTCCATGGATCGATTACATTTACCTGGAAGGAGGGGAAAGCAGATTACAGGTCATATTGATCCAAAAACAGAAATTGCTGGAAAAGCTCAGGAGGTCTGGCAGCATCTTTGGAGAGAGATCAGAGTTAATGTTTCGGGTCTGGTGACCCTTCCTCAGAACAGCATCTGCAGTTCTTTCGGTTTTTATTTCATAATGACCCATACTGTTACAATAAAGCTGGATTTTTTTTAAAAGGATAGTAAATTATCCACATCCTAAAATGAACTTAAGGACCAGGAGCTGCTGAAATGCCTGATTATCAATTGAATAAACAAATATTAATACATCCATGTGCGGTATCCATGAGATAAGTACTAAAAGACATTCTAACTTTCTAATGCAATGTTGTTGCATCAACCTATGATAAAAACATAAGAAATAGGAGCAGGAGTCAGCTATTCAGCCCTTCAAGCCTGTCTCACCATTCTAAAACAACATGGCTGATCTGCCCTAGGCCTCAGCTCTTTCGTGCCAGTTCATCATTGCCTTCAACTCCCCACTGTTTCAAAAATCTACCTCCTCCCTTAACACTTTTAGTGATCTAGCTGCCACAATGCTCTGGGGCATAAAATTTCACACACTCACTACTGTATGAGAGAATAAATTCCTTCACATTTTAGTTTTAAATGAGTGTCCCCTTATTCTGTAACTATGACCTCTGATTCGAGATTTTTCCACTAGTGGAAACATCATCTTGACGTCTACCCTGTCAACACATTCTACCTATGTTTAGATAATACATGGAAACACTCGTCTATGATGTCACTGTATTAAGTGGCATTCATGATATAATGCAATGCATATGCCCGCTGCCACTTAGTTGTGTTCGTTTGACTCATCCTGGGTTCATAGCTTCCACTGTGAATTTTGTTGCTGTGTGGCTCACCTATTAAATTTAATGATCCAGAGAGCAGAATGCCCAAAAGAGTGTGTTAGTCCATCACAAGTGGTTTCCGGTAACCTCAGCACTACTGACACACCTCTAGTGGTATATTAAAGATAAGGGATATTAAAAGTTTCCAGGGGAATGCACAATACCTGTTTTTCTTTTCCCCTAGTCAATGTGCTATCCCTGGATTTTCTGGCGCTATCCCCGTTCCCTGTGGATTGAGGAATCTCCTGTAATGAATTTTTTCCAACTGTACCTATTCTTGTCCCAGGCTGCAGTGTCATCGGGTGTGTTCAGTTTTCTTGGTTTAATGTCCCATTCAAAAGATAAACTAAATCACCCTCTATTCTGCTAGATAGATGTAAAAGATCCCAGAAACTACTTTGAAGAAGAGCAGGGTTCTGTCTGCATTCTGGCAAATATTATATCTCAAAAATGATCAGTAAAATTTTTAAGTGGTCATTATTTCATTGCCATTTAAGGATCTTACAGTGTGCAGATTGACTGCCCTGTTTTCTATATCAGTGACTAAACTTCAAAGAAAAAATTACCTCATTGGCTGTAAAGCACTTTGAAATGTTCTGGAGGCAATGAAAGGTTCTATATAAAAGTCGTGTTGACTTCATTATTTCCAAAATCATCTTACAAGATTTTTTTTAAACTCAACATATTTTTCTAATCAGCCTGTTCGGAGATGCTATTACACACCTCTGGAACAGATAGGACTTGAACCTGTGTCGCTTGGTCTAGGAGTAGGGACACTACTACTGCACCACAAGAGTCTTTGGAAATTGAGGTGAGGTAAAACTTCCTGAGCCTGCCTTGATTTGAACACGGGGCCATCAGGTCTGGAGTCAGATGCACTATCATTGTGTCATGAGCCCAGCCTTTTAGAGGATATTATCTGGAATACTAGATGAGGTACACCTGAATTTATTACCAAGAAACCAGTTCAGACTTACGGGCCTCTAGTTTACACATCCAAAAACACGTGAAACCCATCAAAGGATTTTATTAGATATGCACACGTCGGGGCTCTTTGGAGGTGCAGTGTTGTGTCCTTTTCTCTGGGCCAAGAGGCCTGGGTTCAAATCCCACCTCCTCCAGAGTTGTGTTATAACATCTGTGAGCAAGTTGATGAGGAAAATATATAGATACACGCATGTCGGAGTTCTTTGTGGTGTAGTGGTAATGTCACTACCTCCAAGCCAGGAGGTCTGGTTTCAAGTCACATCTGCTGTAGATATGCATGATATAATCTCTCAACAGATTGACTAGAAATATCTCGGTATGCACATGTTTAACCTTTCACCTCCATAAGGTTGTGGTGCAACAACAATTGTATTAATGTCCATTGCTGACAAATGTAAACACTTCAACTTTTATTACACCCATTCCCTTCCATTGTTAGCATTTTACTATAATCTTACCAGTTTCTCATCAAAAACCATTTGCTTACACAATTTCTTTTTATTAGGATTGAATAAACCTCAGTTGGCTGAGTGCTCCTGATGTGCTTGACACCAATTCATAACGGACCCAAGAGTTCACTTTAATGTAAGATGAGGTCCTTCATTATGGCTTCAATATTGACTAAGAAGAATGGATTTAATAGAACAGTGTAGCATAGAATGTGGTGATTTGGCCCATCATGTGAGTGCCAACTTTTGAAGAAAGCTTTAGTGCCACTGTCTTGCTCATTCCCTTTCACCCTGCAATATTTCCCTTTTCAAGTGTTTGTAAAATTCACACTTGGAATTGAGTCTGCTCTGCTAATTAACATGTTCCAACACATTTTTTCTAAAAAAACTCCTCCTTTTCCTACTTGTTCTTTTGCCAATGATCTTGAATCTCTTACCTCTGATTACAGATTCTCCTAAAAATGGAAATGGTTTCTCCCTATCTGCCTTATAATTTTGAACTTCTCTAGTCTTCCATATAAGTAAAGCTCCTCATCCCTTGTAGTGTTCTGGTAAGTCTCTTTTGGTTTCAACTCAAAGGCCTTTGCATCCTTCCTAAATAATCTTGGCCTAGTGGTTTTATTGCTAGACTATTAATCTGGGGACCTGGGTTCAAATCTTGCCATGGCCCCATAACAAATTTGGAATTAAAAGTCTAATGAAGAAATCATTGTTGATTTGTCAGGGAAGAATATACTGTCGTTAACTGGGCCAGGTCAGAAATCACATGACACAAGGTTATAGTCCAACAGGTTTATTTGTAAACACAAGCTTTCAGAGAGTGAGGCTGTGAAAGCTTGTGTTTTCAAATAAACCTGTTGGACTATAACCTGGTGTCATGTGATTTCTGACCTTGTCCACCCCAGTCCAACACTGGCACATCTTAACTGGGCTGGCCTACATGTGACTCCAGACCCACAGCAACAATTCTTAACTGTCCTCTTATTGATGAACGATAAATGCTGGCCTAGCCAGCGATGCCCACATCCTATGAATAGCTAAAATTGGACACAGTTCTCCAGCTTACATATGACTTATGATGTAACTTTTACAAATCACTGAAAGTATACTTGCATTACATTGGAATGCAGCAAAATAAATTCACCGACTGCTTAGATTGAGTTCAGCTTGGAACTTCTGGTGACTTTTGTTGGCAGCTATGAACTATGGTTAAATGGATTCCTCGAGGTTTCATCACATGACTTAGTCCATGCTCCAGATCAACACTCTTGGGACTCACTGCACTCCTACACCTATTGGAAAGCAAAATGACTCATTAAGCAGTTGACTGATAGGCAGTAGCCTTTCTTTCCCATTTTCAATATATTTTACATCTGCTAAAAAGAAATGTTCAAAGAAAATGACAGGTTGTTTTCTAATGACCTTCATGATCTTTCTCTAAGCTTGCACGCAGTAGTGTCCTGGAGATTGGTTTCCAATTTTTGAAGACTTCAGGCCAATTCTAGAGGTTTGGCAACCCCATCTGTGAAAGGCAAAAATGACATATTAATCTATAGTAATGATGTCAGACCGGTAGGTTTAAAAAAAAACTGTGGTTCTCACAATGGTTGAGCTTGACATTGATTTTGCAGCCATTGAGTAGATTGGTCACTGGTTCCATAGTCAAAGAGGACCAGCCAGACTGAATGCCTGTCCCTGTGCACCACAACTAGTGTTCTCCTAGCAATCCAATGAGTAAAGCATTCAGTTTCATTAGTGGTTTGTCAGAACATTTCTTTAACTTTACAGAGCGTCAAAGGAGGAACAGTCCCTAATTTATCAGCAGATTCTGAAAGTAGCCTGTCACATTGTGTGTGACTAGAATTCTTGGTCTTAATGAGTTGCAGAATATAGAAACCAAGTGATATTTCATTGAGATAACAAGGTGTAGAGCTGGATGAACACAGCAGGCCAAGCAGCGTCAGAGGAGCAGGAAGGCTGACGTTTCGGGCCTAGACCCTTCATCAGAAAATTTTCTACTATCTCTGATATTTCATTGCTGTTTTTGGGAGCTTGCTGTGTGAAAATGTTTGTTGAGTTTCCCAATTTACAACAGTGAGTACACTTCAGTAACATTTTATTGATTGTAAAGTGCTTTGAGATGTTCTTTCTCTTTATTCATTCACAGGATGAGAGTATCGCTGGCCAGGCAGCATTTAATGCCCATCCCTAATTGTCCAGAGAGCAATTAAGAGTCAACCACATTGCTGTGGGTCTGGAGTCACATGTAGGCCAAACCCAGTAAGGATGGCAGATTTCCTTCTATAAAGGACATTAGTGAACCAGATGGGTTTTTCCAACAATCGACAATGGATTCATGGTTAGCATTAGACTCTTACGTCCAGATATTTATTGAATTCAAATTCCACCGTCTGCCATGGCGGGATTTGAACCTGGGTCTTTCATCATGAAAGAATGCAATCTTTATTGCTTTCTTTTTAACATTTTCTGTTGTATTTCTGCTGCTTCTCTCGTTTTGCCCTTGAATGCATCAGTGCCAGTTTTGTTTAGTGTTGCCTGAGGTTGACTATGACTGGTGTTAATAGCCTGAAAAGTGAGCTGATCAAACTAAGGAGGTCAGTTTTTCTGTCCTGCAGCACTAATTGTGAGTCTATCTGCTCACTGCATTACTTATTTTGACAAGTTATAGTTCAGCCTTTGACATTTGAGGAAGAACTGCAACCAGATTTATATTTTCCCCTCATGGTATAATGCTTGTAGAGTTAGTTCTTCAACATCTCATCTCATTGTAATGTAGGACATAACAGTTGGTTTGCATTTTTTGGATAGCCATGTGTCCTTGTGTATCTACATGTGACAAGCCATTCCTCATTAAAAAAAATAGTTTTTATCTAGTCTCATTCTCCTGCCTACTCTCCAGATTACCTTTTTTTACTAAAAAGTCTTCCCTTTTCTTTCTAAAGGCCCTTTGTTCCACCATTTTCTGCCCAATGACCCTTTATATAAATAATAATTGCTTAATCTCTCCCTTCTAATAATCTTTAATGCTTTCCACTACTCATTGACTTATCAGTTGCAATTTACTTTATCAAAATCCTTTTGTTGAACCCTTAGCGACCCTTTTGTTTTGGCCATACTGTGATAACAAAGCTCCAAACTAAATTTCTGAATTAAAAGTAGAACTGGAGAAACTTGGCAGGTCTGGCAGCATCTGTGGAAAGAAACAATTAGCGTTTCCAGTCCAGTTACACTTCTTCACTAATTTATTCTCATTATCAAACCCCTGGTGTCGTCTGGTGAATTCTCCTTGCGGCCTTGACAGTCTTCCTCAATTTAGTTATCCGCAGTTGCTAATCTTTTGATGTAGTCTCCTTGGACTTGGGCAGGGCTAATGATAAGGGAGACTGACAGCAAAGGTCAGAGCCCATGGGATCCAAGGAAATATGGCAAAGTGGATCCACAAGTGGCTGAGCAGCAGGAAGCAGAGGGTGATGATTGAGGAGTGTTTGTCAGACTGGAAATCTGTGTCCAGTAGGGTCCTACAGGAGTCAGTGTTGGATTTCTGAAGAAAGATCACTGGACCCGAAACGTTAATTTTGCTTCCTCTGCACGGATGCTGCCAGACCTTCTCCACTATGTTTGTTGCAGTGTTAGGGCCCTTACTGTTTTTGTGGTTTATATAAATGATTTAGACTTGAATGTAAGGGGGTTGATCAGTAAATATACAGATGATGCAAAAATTGGTGCAGTGTTAAATAGTGAGGAGGACAGCCTTAGACCACAAGAGGGTATAGCAGGCTGGTCAGGTGGGCTGATCTGTGGCAAATGGAATTCAATCCGGATAAGTGTGAGGTGATACACTTGGGTTAAATAAGGCGAGGGAATACATTGATGAAAAGTAGGACCCTGGGAATCACTGAGGATCAGAGGGACCTTGGTGTATATGTACACCTGTCCCCTAAGATTGAAGAACAGGGAGATTATGCTGGAATGTTTAAGATGTTGGTTATGTCAAAGGTCGAGTATTGTGTGCAGTTTAGAAATTCACATTGTAGGAGGGATATGATAGCAGTAGAGAGGGTGAATGGGAGATTTGCCAGGGTAATGCCTGCTTTAGTTATGAAGAAAGGTTGGACAGACTGGGACAACAAGGTGCAGGGCTGGATGAACACAGCAGGCCAAGCAGCATCCTAGGAGCAGAAAGGCTGACGTCCGGACAGACTGGGATTGCTTTCCTTGGAGCAGAGGAGATTTTGGGGGGCATGATTGAGAGGTATTAAATTGAGGTGCATAGATAGGATAGATAGGAAGAAACATTTCACCTTGATGGAGGGCTCTACGACTGGGATCATAGATTTAAGATAAGGGGCAGGAGGTTTCGAGGAGATGTGAGGAAAACCATTTTCATCTGGAACTCACCGTTTGTAAGGCTGGTAGAAGCAGAATCCCTCAAACAATGAAGAAGTATTTCAGGTGGCTCAGTAATTAGCATTGCTGCATCACAGCGCTAGTACCTGGATTCGATTCCACCCCCGGGCGACTGTCTTTCTAGAGTTTGCACTTGTCCCTGTATCAGCGTGGGTTTCCTCCCACAGTCCAGCGATGTATGGGTTAGCCATGGGAAATGCAGGGTTACAGGTCAAGGGTAGGGGAATAGGTTTGGCTGGGATACTGTTTGGAGGACCGGTGTGGATTCGATGGGTCGAATGGCCTCCTTCCACACTGTAAGGATTTAATGATACGCAATTGCGAGACCAAGGCATACAAGACTAAAGGCCAAATGCTGGAAAAGGGATTGGAATTTCTGAAGAAGGGTCTAGGCCCGAAACGTCAGCCTTCCTGCTCCTCTGATGCTGCTTGGCCTGCTGTGTTTATCCAGCTCTACACCTTGTTATCTCGGAATAGTTAGATGGTTGTTTTTGACCGGGGAGGACGCAGTGGACCGAAGGACCTTTTTCCGAGCTATAGATCTCTATCACTGTATGACTCTACACATGGGGCCCAATCAATAATTTTTCTACAGGTTGCAAATTTTATCTTTGCTTTTTCACTTATAGTTCCACATGCCAATTACTGAGAACTCATTCCTGCGAGTGTGTCACTCCCGGCTGTCCATTATTCCTATAAATCAACAATCTGAATTCTTCAGGTGGTTACACTCCTGTCTATAACATTCCTGGGTATTCATTATTCGGTATACACCATCCAAATCTTTCAGGTAGGCTCCTAATTTAATAGTATTGAATCCCTGGATTAGATCCCTCGGTGTCACTCACTCTCTTGTACCTAAACGTGCGGAGCTGTTTCAGAGTACGTTGGGAAGTGTTATCCAGTGACGGAATGCTGATTGCAGTGAAAGCGGTGTTGATGTCGGGAGGTGAGGAGTTAAACTGGCCCGTGTTGTAGAGTAAGCAGCAGTGCATTGTGGTATGAAAGCCCGGAGTGCTGCATTGACGGGGGGGGAGGAAGAGCAGCATGTAAAAGCAAGTGAGAGAGAGATTCCCCGCTGAGCGGGATGGACGGTGAGGAGTGGCAGCGGTGACTGATCGAGAACCGAGCTCGGCTCCGCTTCCCCGGGACACCCAGCCGAAGGGAATGAAGGGCAGAAGCTGCTGGGAGACGGGATCCGCACGCACGTTCTGCCACTCGGGCTGCCTGAGTAAATTGAAGAGGGGTTAGTTGCCTTGCAGTGCTTCTCTGCCTGGCTCATCTTTTACAAAACAAAACTGCACGGTCAGCAACTTGCACATGACTATAATTGTGGGGTACGGGAACCGGATCCGAAGAAAATTCAGTAATATTTAATTGCTGTTAGGCCCTGATTCAGAAAAGAATGCCCGCGATTGGGTCCAACTCCCAGAACCAGCATTGTGCTCACCTCTGTCCTATTTGGTTTAATAATCCATTATTGATCTCGATTATAATGTATTGCAATCGGGGTGCCATTCCTTCGATATTCCTGTGAGCTGATGAAAAAAATGTCTATGCTTTTGCAATGATTCATTTCCAATCATAACATTCAATGTAACAGTGAAATGGTACAAAGATTAACAAAAGAATCCAGTAGTTGATCCACTGAATGTTTCCATGCCTTCTTAGTCGTACCTTTTTTGATCTGTGCTGATGTCTCACAGTTACATACATGGTGACACTGGACCCCTGGGTTGATTTGCAGGCGCTCAATGCAAAATCAGTACCCGAGGTTTCTCTCTCTTCCAGGAGTCACTCTTTCAGAATTCACCATCCCCCTACTCTCACCTCAGCCACAGTTCCTGAGGTCACCCTATTCTGAAGTGATACTTCTATTGATTTGAGACACTTCTTCCTGAGCCAGGCAATCAGCATCTCATCCACTTAGATGGTATCTGTCTGTCCTGCTGTTTGAAGATGATCCTGTTGCCTTGACTGTCAGACAGATGCCTGACCGCTCTTTAGCTCCTGAGACAGATGTGCTCTGGACTGATTAGTGTGCCCCCGTTACCTGTTGGGAATAAATTTAACATCACAGCTAACATGTCAAATTAAATGGGACTATATTAACACTGCAATTATACTGCATGAAAGATCTAGTCCGTTTTAGTCATTCCTCTGTGCCATTTGTTGAGTCAAACTGCTTTAGCCCATAAACATCCAATCCCATTTGGCCTAATTCAGCTTTCTATTTTTGGTTGTGCACTCTTTCTTTCAAGAAGAAAAATGTGGATCAAAGTCCCACTGGTTCATTTGCTGCCGTTCAAACATTCATAAAGGTGAGGGCAATGTTGCATGTTTGAGGATATATATAAACAGTCCAACTGAGCAGGCATCAATGGAGAGTGCCAGTTTAACTTGGTGCTGTTGATTTGCATTATGGAAAGTTACCAGCTTCAAACTAGTGCTTGCAGAAAAATTAATCAGTGCTAAAATTTCAGGATGTAAATATATCATGTATATTTCATATCTGTCTCCAATATGTATCAGCTGTGGCTTAGTAGACAGCACACTCGCCTCTGAACTGCAAGGATCTAGGTTCAAGTCCTACTTCAGGTCTTGAGCACAAAAGTGGAGGCTGACACTCAGTGTGTACTGAGGGAGCATTTCATTGTTTGGAGGTGTCATTTTTCAGATGAGATGTTGAATCAACCCCCTATCTACCTGCTCAAGTTAATATTAGTTAATTTCCTAATCAACCTGTTGAGATTTTGTCCCCCACCTCAGGTGGGACTTGAACCTGGGCCTCCTGATTCAGAGGTAGAGTTACTACCACTGCACCATAAGAGCCATCTCAGGTTGATGTTAAGGTTCCCATGTTGAAGAAAAGCAGATGAGTTATCCCTTGTGCCCTGGCCAATATTTTTTCCTCAGTCAGCATCTCAAAAAACATCATTTGAGTCATTTATCGCATTGCTGTTTGTGTAAGTTTGCTGAGTGCGGATTGACTGCCATGTTTTCTACACTACAATAGAGACTACACTTCAAAACGTGCTTCCATGATTGTAAAGCACTTTGTTCACGACCACCGGATGTCTCAACACAACATGAATGCAAGTGTATGTTAAGTTTTGCAGATTTCTTGAATGTAGTACAGTTTACTTCTTTCCCATGATATTCCCCTGCCATGTATTGATAGCATATTATTGATTCAGAAAAATGTGCATCACTTTCTCACCAGAAGCAACATAGACCTGCCAGTAATATTCATCAACATTTAAAGGGGAATCTTCAAGAAAAATTCAATCTAACAAATCTAAGAGTTTTTGAGCTGATTTAACTGACTAGGGCAGTGAATAGGTGGGCATGTGAATCTCCAAGTTTGTTGTTAATATGTGTTAAATTTTCAGATTTTGATGGCTACAGTGTATGCACAACATCCAGTGCTTGCACATTTTACATTTATTACTGTATATACCCTGTACTGTGAAGCACCATTTTTGTTTATACCTCCAACAGTATAACTGAATGGGGCCAAGACTGGGCTCACAGAAGACAAAAGGGCTGGTTTCCTCTGGAATCATAGAATCCCTACATTACAGAAAGAGGCCATTCAGCCCATCAAGCCTACGCCGACCTTCTGAACAGCATCCCACCCAGACCATTACATTATCCCCATAACCCCGCATTTTCCATGGCTAATCCACCTAGCTTACCCATCCCTAGACACTACAGAAATTTTAGCATGGCCAACCCACCTAATCTGCACGTTTTTGGACCTTGGAAGGAAACTGAGGAAGCCAGAGGAAAGCCATGCAGACTGGGGGAGAATGTGCAAATTCAACACAAACAGTTACCTGAGGCTGGAATTGAACTCCAATTCCTGGCACTGTGAGGCAGTAGTGCTAACCACCATGCCACCCAATATTAGGTACATCAGCCCCTCCAATCTGTTCCATCATGCAATGACACCCTGCTAATATGCAATTGAATTCAATGCACTATGCCTCTCGCCTCTTGTCATTTTTCTTCAATATTAATTTCTAATTACAAATCAACAATGATCTAGAATCAACTGCCTTTTCTAGAAGAAAGTTTACAACTTCTAACACTCTTTCCATATAAAGGTGTTTTCCCTTTAACTTTCACTCCTGAAATACATTTTTACCAGGAAGACTAAATTGTCCAACCAGCAGCTTCCTCCATTTTCCTTTCTTCCAATAGTTTGCTGGGCCAAACATCGTCTAAAGCTGTCCCTGCCTATATCTAAACACTTTCTCCATTTTCTCTTGAATCTCTCTTCGTGGCCTAAGAACATTATGTCCAACTATCCTAACTCCTGCTTCCTTGACTTTATTTCCACTGACCTGTCAACTACCAACTTCTCTCTCTCTCTCTCTCTGTCTCTCTCTCTCCCGATCCCAAGATGGCGGAGTTATCAGTGCAGTGTACAGGCTCCTCAGCCCAGGAGCCCGGAGGTCGTCTACTCAGTCCATTTTGGTTTTTTTTCTTCTTTTCTGTCTTTTTTAAAATGTTTCCATTTATCACCTTACTTCATTCAACGGCTTCGGCAGAAGGCATTTTCTCCTGGCCTGGGTCCAGCAATGAGGATGCTCCCAGCCCAGCGACGACCCAGCCTGGCAGCCTTGTTATGGAGGGGCAGTCTTGGCTTGGCCTGGCAGTCTCCAGGTTTGGTCTGAAATTGATCTGAGATGAACTTTCCCTAATTTTTACTGTTTTTCTTTTCTATGACTTGTGTCATTAATACAGGCTCCATGGTATGGTGACTTATGAAAATTGTCTTTTATTTTTGTGACAATATACGTGACAATAAATCGTTATTCTATTCCTATTGTATGCCTATTTTAATACTATTCTCTTCCTGATCCCCAAGTTAATTGCAGTATTCACACAGTCTTCAGAAGAAGGATCCCGTCCCAAAACATCAACTTTCCTGCTCCTCTGATGCTGCCTGGCCTGCTGTGTTCCTCCAGCTCCACACTGTGTGTTATCTCTGACTCCAGCATCTGCAGTTCTTACCATCTCTAATTATAGTGTTCACTGTTTTCTCCCACTTGCTTTTAAATCTGCCACTATCACCCCTCCTCAAAAAAATCCCTTAACTCCACATTCTTTGCAATCTACTGGTCATCTCCAAAGTCCTTGAGCGTGTTGTGACCTTCCAATTCTGTAGTCAACACTCCTGGAACTCTGTATTTGAAATTTTCAATTAGGTTTCTCCCCAGCCACAATATTGAAATAGCTCTTATTCAAGTCACATATAACATCTTATGGGACTGCGCAGAAGGTAAATTACACCTTTCATCCTTCTCAACCTCTCTGCAGTCCTTAGTATAGTTGACCATATCCTCCTCCTCCTCCTGCTCCAACACCTCTTTGCTACCATTCACTTTGGACTGCTGTCACCTGGTCTATTCTTGTCTATCTAATCTTAGTAAAAGTATCATTTGCAATAGCATCTCTACCAGCTTTCCCAACATTACCTTTGGTAACCTGCAAGACTGTAGCCTTGATTTGCTCCTTTTATTTAGCTTTGTGCTGCCATTTGGTCTTAATTTTAACATGTATGCTGAAGATGACCAGCTTCACCTCCTTCGATTCCCTCTGCTGTCTCTAAATTGTCAAAACTGCTTGTCCAACATTAGCACCGGATGAACAGATATTCTCTTCAGCTATGTGTTGGGAGGACAGAGCCATTGTCTTCAGTTCCCCCACGTAGTTACCATCACTGTTGTCCAATCCGGAAACCATCTGAGGCTGGACCAGCCTTTGCAACCATGATGTCATTGATCCCGGAGAAGAGCTACCAACCACTCATCCATGTTATCACTGAAACTGCCTATTTCCACGTTGACACATTGTCCAACTCTACATCTGCCTCAGCTCATCTGTGACCAAAATCTTCATCTGTGCCTTTAACACTTCAGGACTTGACTATT